GCGGAAATCGTTCAGACGAGTTCGACCTGGAACAAATTGGATTACCAAACCAAAATTGAAACGTCAAATATTGAATTTAAAATAAATATCAAAATACAAGAACGAGATTCAGAGCTCCAAAACTGAAACCTCGAGCTGATCCCAGCTACCAAAAAATTTTAGGATCAAAATTCTATATTTATTATATGCTAAAATCACCTTGACGAAGTATGCCAAATGAATTTCCTCGATGTCTCATCGTGACTTTCGTGTCCGAGTATTCCACAGGACTCAAAAGTCCATAATTCACGAAAAAGTGTTCAAATAAGGATGCGCTCATAGGAGTGTTCATCAGACGATTTGACACGACTGGTACGAGTTCTGCATGGAACGATGGACAGATTGCCTTGAAAATCAAATAAAAACACATGGAAATAAGATAATGAATTCGTTTTTTACTTGTTCTATTCGTTCCTTTACAAAATGCATAATTACAGGAAGATAATTAGCAATAGCTTTATCGGCTGCAGCCAGGGTCAGCTCAACATTATTAGCAGCTACCTGAAAAATAAATTCAGGGCAAAAAGTGCTTGAAATTATAAAATTTTAACCTTGCAGGTGACTAGATCCGTTTTCAAATGCCCATCTGAGTTTACTCCAGTCCAAAGCAGTAACTCGACATTTGTCCTAGGATTCATAATTTACTAAAAAATATTTATTTCTAACTTAAAAAATTTAGCACCTGTCAAATGAGAGCGGAGACGAGCCAGTCAGTTCTCCACTAGGAGTATTCAGTTGAAATGATGTTAATACGGTCACATTCAAATTTGAACCCTAGAAATATGGAAGTTCAACTAATGCTCATTCAAGAAAAATCAAATGATATAGAACAGATATTATGCATAGAAATTATAACTACAGTAGGCTACAGTATCTTATTGTCGGGAGCGATTATCATTAGCCGTTACTGTAACATGACAACCACAAAAAGCTTCAAAGCATGAGTACTGTAATCGACAGTACTATACTAAACCCTCCAAAGAAGGGAGACGGCCCTTCTGAACCCTACCGTCAGCTACCGT